CCTCAGACAGCGAAGTTTTCAGCCATCATCAGGTCCCATCCCTTACTCTCTCCCCGTCGTGGGGCTCCCATGATGCAGATGGTGTTACATTTCATGTTGTCCAAAATGTTTCTTAAGCTCTCATTTAAAAAAATACTTTGACATTTCTGCTCCTCTGCCCGTGTTTCTACTTTGTGGTCCAAACACTGGTTCTGTGCTCTGCTGCATCACACCTACCGTCTATTCCTTCCAGTGTATTACTTATCTCAGATATTGTATTTGTTCTTTCTGACTGGTCCTTTTTTATGGTTTCTATGTCTTTTTTTCGTGCTGTGGAGTATCCTTACAATCATTACTCTAAACTCTCCATCTGATAAATTGCTGGCCTCCATTTCATCTAGCTCTTCTGGAGAATTCTCTTGTTCTTTCATTTGGGGTGTATTTCTTTTCTTCTCATTTTGGATGCTGCTTTGTATTTTCTGCCTTAGATGTTAAACTCATCAAATGTATGGCTTGATGGTATCCCATTGTCCCTTATGCTATACTTACTTTTTTCATTCTTTTTTCTTTTTGCTCCTCTGATTGGATAAATTCCACTTTGACTTTGTGGATCCTTTCTTTCACTTGATCTAATCTGCCATTTGAACCCTTCTGTTGGATTTTTCCATTTAGTGATTATATTCTTCATCTCTGTGACTTCTGTCTAGTACTTATATTTTCATTGTCTTCATTGAAATTCTCACTCTGTTTATGCATTATTCTCCTTGCCTTGGTGAGCTTTATTACTCTGAACTCTTTACCAGGCCAGTGACTTATCTCTATTTCATTAAGGTCCGTTTCTGAAGTGTTAGCTTGTACTTTTGTTTGGACCATAGTCCTCTTTCTTCGCTTTCCAAGACTCTCTGGGTTGGTTTCTGTGCGGTAGATAAAACAGCCACTTCCTCCTGTCTAGACCTACGTGGTCTCATGTCTCATGCAGGAGATGAAACTTGTCATTCGGCCCACTGAGCTTTTGGTGGTCTCTCAAATCTCCATGGTTGTCCAAGCCACCTTCTTTGTTCTCAGTGGCTCCCAGCAGCTGAGGGTCCTCCAAGGCCTGTTATGCTCCAAGGGGGAGGAGCTCTGTCAGCACCGAGATGCAGGCTGATTGGAAGCTGGATGCTCAGGCAGCAGCTTGGGAAGTACACAAATAGATCTCTCCCAGACAGCCCGGGAGGTGAGTGTCTCTGCCTGCGTCCTCTGCAGAACTGTTTGTGTGCTTGAGTCTTGTGAGACCCACAAACACAAGCCTCACTGGCCTCGAGAGCCTGGTGACCAAGGGGTGCATTCCCTGGGCAGCTGTCGCAGAAGCTGGGGGCCCAGACAGACATGTGTACAGGCTCCTTCCAGGGGAATACCAGCGACTGGGAGTGGGCGAGCAGGAGGAGGCGGCGATGGCACCCGCTGGCCTCACCAGTCTCCAGAGAGGACCGCAGTCGCCATCAAGATGTGTGCTCGATCAGAAGCCTGGCCCTGGGACGGGGCAGCTTTCGTGGTATATAAATAGGCCTCCTTCGGGGAAAGAGTGGGAGACGGGCCTTTCTCTGCTGCCCCTGCACTGGGCACTGGGGAGACGGCCTTGGCGAGTCCTCGCAAGGCCACTGAGAACTGTTCCTTTCTTTGCTGTACTCTCGCGGGTCTCGTGGACATGACCCCCACTGGCTTTCGGAGCTTCGGGGGTCCATCCTTTGGGTGGATGTCCTAGGTGGGGTGCTCAATGTTGGGTTCAAACCCCTCTTTCCTCAGGGAGAAACTGGGAGTCGTGTTTCCTGCCCGTTGCATCTCACTGTGCCGGGACCGGGGGTTCGCGGTGAACGGGGTCGCAGCCCTTCCGGGTCTAACCCGGGCGTTTTCTCACTCACTCAGTGTGCAGGAGCTGCTCAGAGGGACCTGCTCCGTGTGTCCGTCCTGTCCACCTGGCGTCCACGGGAGCAGGTGAGTTCAGGAGCCCCTGTGTCACCCTCTGACTAGAATGCTTTAACCTAATCATCCCAGGGGTCAAATCAGTCTGCGACCTGAATGGCAGGTGACTGGCAGATGTGCGGGTGCCACAGGCCATTCCACGTGGGGACTGCGTTCACACCCAGGCACCGGCGTGACCCCCAGAATCAGGGCATGTTCGACTTTCTCTGTAAACCAGCCTTGTGCTCCAGGAATGACGTTTGGGTTAAACGGTAGACCAAGGCTCCAGGAAGCTTTCCCGTGCCCAGGCTGTGGCAGCAGCAGTGAAACCCACGGCTCTGTGTCTAGACTCTTAAGGCCAAGCTGAAAGCAGACTGAAAACTGGAATTTGTACAAGAATGGCTTGTTTTAAATTTGAAAGTTGCTTAGATATGAAACTGATTTGTGTCTTCTGTTCTATCAAGGTAATCATACTAAAACGATTATTATGATTTTATTGTGATGACTATGATTACTTGCTTTTCATAAAGCACGTTTCCACTAATGTGAGTGATCAGCTGTGGAGCGTGTCCCACCCCCAACGTTAGGGCACGGTCAACTGTAGTAAACACTTTAAAGTGTGACATTTATTGAACACGTTCAAACTTTTTTCTTGGACATAATTTTTGTACAAAATGTCAATAAAACCAAAACCACACAATGTATTTGATGTTACAAAGGAATAAAAATTCAGAGAGGTATGCCTAAAACTCCAGTGTCAGGAATTAGAATTTGAGGGCACAGTGAATGATGAGCCAAGTTCCAAAGAAACAGACACACCGTCATGGACCGTACTGTTTTCTCGACAGGAAATACACGCCGGTGCCCCCACCCCCAGCACCCTCACCGAGGGACGCCGGCACCCGCCACCATGTTCTGGTTGTCGGCGTAACCTTGGCCGAATGGCTGAGATACTTCGAGAAAGGTATCATGGCCCTCTGACCCTTTCTGTAGTGACATTTAATTTAAACCCTGGGGGGAAGAGGACTCGGGGCCCTGGAAATCTGGGTTAGTGACGGAACCTGGCAGGTGTGGGGCCACGTGATAAAGAAATGGCTGCAAGGAGGGATGACTGCGTCTTCACCACTCTGCCCTCAGTGGTTTGCTCTGGGACACCCGTAGTCCGTCCAACGGTTTCAAAAAGATCTGGTTTCAAAAAGAAACGAAGCAACTTTCACAGGAGGGGAAAGGTGAAGGGAAGCCTCATTTGAAGGTTTTTCCAGAAAGGATATTTAAACAAATCATGAAACTCGGAGAACCATTTGATTGATGGTCTAATTTTAAAACTATTTCAAGTACATATGTTTTCATACTTCGTGTTCTTAAAAGTGTTTTTCAGGTAATGATTATTTTAAAAACATTATTGACTTAAATCCCACAAAACTCATGTGCTGAACCTGTGTGCATTATATCCATTTCATAGGCAGAATAAAAAGTGTTACATAACTTGCCTGAAAAACCCTAGTAACTCAGTCCTACACTGGCTCTCCCCAGGCTTTACTTTGAAAGCACAGCTGTAATAGCCACAGAGATTTTAGGGAGTGGAGTTTCAGTCCATCACTTGTAAGCTGATGAACAGCGGTTTCAACCACGGCGTATCTGCCACAGCTCAGAGAGAACAGAAAAAAAAGTGAAAACACCTGCCTCTTCTCCCTGCATCACTCCGTTCCCTGCGTCTGCTTAACAACACAAGTAACGTGGCTGCGTCACTCGTGAGGTTGCTGCGTTACTAAATAATCGGATGTTGATGGAGTGTACTGATGACCCCAGTTTACCTCCAGATTCTGTACTCTGATTTAGCTCTGACTGTCCCATTCTACATACATCTGTTATCTTCAAAGTGCTAAATGTAAGATTAACATGACCCAGCAATCCATGCCTAGTATGTACCCAAGAGAATGGAAAACATACATCCATACCAAGACAGGCACGTGAATGTTCAGAGCAGCAAAATAGATGAAAAACTGGGGAGAACCTACGTGTCCATCACCCGATGCCTGCATGGCCTGACGACGTGGTGTTACTTGGATGTGAAAAGGACGGAAGCAGCGACGCACGCCGCAGGGCGGACGGAGCCCAACCATGCTGCGCTGAGAGGAGGAAGCCGGGCACAGAAAGGCACGTCCCGCGTGATCCCCTTACACCAGAAACTGGCAAGTCCGCAGACACGGGGTAGACTGGGGTTTGCCAGGGCTCACGAAGACGTGGTAACGAGTGACTTCTGATGGTTACAGGGTTACTTGGGGGATGACGAAAAGTTCTGAAATTAGATCGTGGTGATTATTGCACAACTCTGTACATATACTAAAAAAATCAATGAACTCTAAAGTGTGAATTTATGGTACGGGAACTATAGCTCAATAATGCTGTTATTTCAAAAAAAAAGTTATCAACTCAATGTCCTGTTCTCACATGCTGGAAGTCAAATGAGCAAGAAAGAAAGGTATATTTTATTTAGCCTACAGAAAATCTGAGAATCTTGATACTAAGTATTACTAATATATGTAATGGTTTAGAGTAGTTTCATTTCACACTGGTAAGTAACAGATTAGCTACTTTATCTGGGAAAAATTCTAAGTATAGGTAGTTAAAGTCTGGAAAGACTATAAGCTGGACTTTTTAAAAAAATTTGTTCTAAAAAAATTGTTCTCAGCAATAAGAAAATAAAAACTGAGGAGGAGCTGACCCACAGATGCCAGCAGGTCTAAGGAAGCCGAGACACATCAGACAAAGGTCTGCGTTCACATGCTTGTGACGTTACAGCACAGGGACACCCAGAACGAAAACACAGTCTTATGTCCTAGCTCATTCTCCTCTCCATTCTGGGTTTCTCCAAATGGCACTGTTCTGGAAGCTGACGAGCACTCTCCCTGCAGGAAGCCATCAGTGCTCGTGTGGCGTAAGTCAGAGGCAGTCACAGGCGACAACAGCCATCCTCTATCCACAGCAGCTTGCTCACCAGGGGACAGCACTGCGGAACAACCTGGCACACACAGACTTCCCTGAAATCCAGACAGTCCAGTCCGGCCCTCGGTTCTCCAGCCCTGCGTCTGAGCTTTGCAGAGTGTCTGCTTGCCCACCATGTACTCCAGACCGCCACACAGGTGCCAGGGTGACTAGTGTGCACGGTCGCTTAGAGAAAGAACGAGAAGACCAAGTTTCCTGCACTGTGTTCACGTGAAAAATGGAGGGCAGTGGTCAGTTTTCAAGGTCTTTGGCTAAAGTTTCACGGATGAACTGTAAGGTACGCTGGTACAAAAAAGCATCCTTTCTCTGTGGCTTACAAATGTTCAGATGGTTGACATCCACAGGGATCAGCTCTCCCAAGCCTAAATCTGAAGAGAACAGAGACGTCAGTAACACCTAAGGAGAGACTCCTCCCCATCAGTGTCCACAGAGGCCGGGCTGGCGGTTCTAAACGTTGATCTGGCCGTGATGTGGGACTGTTAACGAAACCTGAAGGTTCACATTTGATTAATCATGCCAGAATGGGTTCTTAGCAGGCATGACTGTCACTTATGCTTTTCATAACTTCTTCATATGCCGCCCGGCCTACTTCCTAATCCAACTGTGAGCAGAGCCCGAGCCGGGCCATCTCCAGACCTGGCTGTACTTGCAGGTCGCCACTGAATCATCCCACACTTCTTCTAACTACCCCTTTCCCTGGAGTTTGCATTATAAACTTGATAGTGAGCTCCCCGTCCTGATAAAAACCTGGGAACGTCTCATGGGAGATCCGTTCCATCTACCACGGTGCTCAAGATGCTCCGTGAGCCTCCCAGAGCCGCCTGGACCGGAGACCCAGAGGTACTCGCGAGGCCGGCAGGAGGCAGGCATCCCGGGGACACGGAAGGAGGCGCAGGCGGAGGTACGGAGAGGGCACGTCACCACAGCAGCTGCTCCACGGTATCCCCAGTGCTCACTCTGCTAACTCTGCTTTGGCTCTAAGCTTCCAAAGTCCCTTTTTTTTTCTGCTGCTTTTTAGACACTGCAGCTGTCCCTTGACCTCTTCAAATTTTTCAACTACCAAAGGGTAGCATGGCGTATTACTTGGAGGTAAACCGTCTTTAGGTTTCACTAAACTATGCGGTCTTTTTCATTTTATTTACATACCATGTAATGAAGTTAGGACAAAACTTGTTATGTGTACCAAAGAACCACCTGGCAAGTGCTCCACTTCCACACTGTCCCTGGCTGCAGGGAGCGCTGAGAGCTCCCCGGACAGCCCCCAGCCCAGCCTCGGTGGGGATCAGAAAAGGGTCTAACGTGCAAGCTGAGTTGTTCCAGGGAGTAACAGGTGGGACTCACCTACCGTGCACAGGGCAACAGAGGAGGCTGTACAGAGAGTGAAGACGTGGGCCCTGCTCCCACAGAGCCTGTGATACAGTCAGTACAGGACGCTGCGGTGGCAGGTGCTGTTCGCTCCCCCAACCGCAGGGCCCTGGAGAGACTGTGCCAACGCCTGCGTCCCTTCCACTGATCTGTGTTGAGGTCTCTGCACACACTCCCAACCCAGCTGATAGAGGGCTTTGCATTCTTACCTTAATGCAACAGAGCTCACGGATGATGGCTAATTTAGAGTTAGCCAGTTAACCTTTGCCATCAGATCAATTAAATGAGGGGAAGAGGTAATACCAAGGTAATATGTTTGCAGAGAAAATTTAACCTATGGCTGGAAAGAACAATAGAACTAGAATCTACATCTTCCTAAAACTGAGAAACTAACTACAGACATAGTTGCATATAATCACATGCTAGGCACCACCAACCACGGCCGGCAGCAGAGGGAGTACCTGCCGACTCCACGGGCACCACCTGGAGTTTGATCATGCTGCCAATGGAGGTTGGCAGAGTTTCGACGAAATTCAGCACCTGGAAGTTCTTGTCTTTGGCAAACTTCAGAAAGTCGTCCTGTAGTGCTTTAAGTGCAGGAGAATCTGTAAAATGATGGAGAACAAGACGGACAAGTTCTGTTTATCCAATTCGTAACAAAATATATTAACCTTCTAAATTTAGAGAGAAAATTAGGATCTAATTTGAGAAGGCGGCTCATGCAATTTATCTCCTTCCTAAGAAGCCCTTAAGATGAGAGTGGAAGGCTCACTCCCACGCAGAGGCCAGGTCAGGGGGAGGGGCTTCCCACATCACTGGCTGGCAGGAAGCAGTCCGCAGGCAGTCTGGTGTGTGGACCTCGGGTCCCCCAGTGTGCTGGCCGGCACGCACACCCACCTTAAAACACAGCCTCCCTCACCACAGCCTGTCCACGAGCACAGAGTGCCCACCCCTTTCTGTCCCTCGGCCTCAGCTAGGACAGGGCCACCAAAAAGCACCACACAGGGAGGGAAGGCGGCAAGCTGCAAGAGACAGACCCAAGGGGCAAACAGAAAACTAACCTGGGCGGTGAAGAGACACAGAAGAACTTTAAAAAAAACACCAATTTGTATCTTTAGAATGATTTCAAAAGACATTAGATCAAAGAATAAGAAAGAGTTTATGGGAAAAAATTCAACTGAAAAAATTAAGATTCAACAAAAGGTTTTCAACAGAATATAGTCAAGTAACTCCATAAAGGCCAGAGAAAATATGAATAAAATTACTTCTGGCTCAAGCCAAGGGCTCCAAATTCTGATCACCAGGTATGCCAGAAAAAAAGAAATGCATATAATTAAAACAAATAATAGTTACTATGGCAAAAATCTTCAAAGCTTATGCAGTCGATGATTTTCCAAACTTGTGGAGAAAAGCTATTAATTGGTCATTTGAAATTATACTTACAGCAAAACATGTAACTTTTTAAATTTTAAGTATTTAATGTAGCATTGAAATTGTTCCATTCGAACAAATAATGGCTGAAGACAAAAAGCGAAGATATCAAAGAAAACCCGAACCCAAACGGGAAATCTCCGGGCGGATCGGCATTACCCTTGCTGAGCTCTTTGACTTCCAGAGAGGGGAAGAGGAGGTAGCGGACGTTCACGGAGTACTCCGCCAGGTGGGACCCGTGGTGAGGGACGCTGTAGAAGATGATCCCTCGGGTGTTGTTCACCACAGGACTCATTTCTGGCTTCTGGGAGGCTTCCAGCAGCATCTTTTTGACAAGAAGACCTAGCCACAGAGAAGGAAGAAAAACAACGCATAAGCTTCCCTCCATTATTCTTAAACCCCCCAAAAGGCAAAACAGAAACACGGAACAAGAGCTGCCGTCTTTAAAAGTTTAAGCAACAGTTCTCTGTAGTCCAGTAGTCGGGGCCTTAGAATATCGGCACTGGGGAGCTCTCCGGGTGCCTTAGATGGGAATCTCCCCACAGACAGGCAGCGTTCTATCTGCAAGGCAGGGCACCTGTCACAGGCTGCACTATCCCACAGAAGGTGCACCCAGACCGCTAGTGGGGTGTCCACCAGAGATGCGAAAATGCAGCCAGCCACCAATCTCCACGCCCTGGCCCCCGCCCACAGCAGCGTACTGACGGCCCCTCCCTTAGGATGGTACTAACAATCCAAAGACACAGTCCCATAAAGCCCATCCTCCGTGCAAAACAAAGCTTTCGTGGGAAAGTGCACCCAGCAGGGAACCTCCGTCTCCCACCAGGCCTGGAGCCAGTGGTGAAACAGAGGTCACACAGATGGTGACCTGCCTCTCTGAGGACACCACAGGTGACACCTGCTTTCCTCTCAGCAGGATGCCAGGCCTCAGTCAGCAGTCCTGAGCGTTTCACAAACTAGGCAGCAGCCGCAGAAGTGGGCCGGGGAGAGGGCTGGGAGGAGCAGGCGTCCCTTAGCCAGCAGGCGCTGGAAGCCACGGAGCAGACAGCAGCAGGGCCCAGGGAAGCGGGCATGCAGGGGCCGGGGCTGTGGGCACTGGAGCACCGCTGGGCTCTGTGACGGCTGGGGTGCCGGGAAGAAGGGGAGCCCTGGGACCAGCCAGGAGTCGTCACAGGCAGGGCTTGTAGAAGCCAGGGGCTGCGTCTGATGTTTGTTCGTTATGACCACATGAAAGCATTAAGTTGTCCAACTCACATCCCTTTTCTATAGTTGGTTACTAGTTGTCCGTCCCCTCCCAGAAACAGAAATAGCATGGAAGGAGAGTAGGAATTAAAAAACTCCTAGCCATAGCCAGGAAGATTGGTCTAGGGGAACAAGGGTCACTCTAGGTGAGACGGGTGCAGGGAGTTAGGTTAGCCTGAATGGCTGGCGACCCCCAGCAAGGCGCACTTTGCAGAAACGAGATGGACTCACCTCCCATGCTGTGTGACACCCAAATCATCGGCCTGTCCCCAACGCCAGCCGCTCTGAGCTTCCTAAGAAGTTCCGTGCTCCTGAATGCAATGGACTTTCTGAGCAAAATGAAAACAGGCGTGACAGGAGGCTACGGACGTCCCGCAAATTTTGCCGTCCAATTTTTAAAGCAAGAACTTGTGTTTACTGGACTCAGGGGTACCACTCTCTCTCTCTCTGCTCGATTCCTGCAGCTGCTCACTGAGTCGCCCAAGTGGGAACATCTCAGCTCCGAACAAGCAGTTTGTTTACTAAACAAGCACCGTTGGAGCGTCTGCCCGAGTCTGGCAGTTTTCACAGGTCAAAGGCAAACCTCACACCACCTGCCCGCACCACTTGGGACGTGTGTCCTTTTCTCATTACGTGGCCGGACACCAAGGCTTTGCCTCTTTTGTGATTCACCAACATGAAGGCAACTCTCACTGCTGCTGAATCATTGCTTGTATCAATATTTATGCTGAAAACACAACATTGGTTTGCTACTTAGAAACACCAGAACACTGTTACAATCAGAGAATTCTAAGTAAGCAATTTTCAAAAAGAAAACTTCAAAACTATCTGGTCTAGAACTTTCAAGCTATTTACCTGTAGAATCCTTTCTTCAAAATAAGGCTTGTCACAGTTCCTGGGGGTGGCACAGGGGAGGAGCCCTGGGGTCTGGTCTGCTGGCCCCACCCCCTTCCTCCAGCCCCTGGGTGGGCTGTTCAGAGCCCCCACCGAGTCAGGCCGGCTCCCTCAACTTGCAGACCAAGTTCCCAGGCAAGTAAGTGACTTGTCTGGGACCTCTAGAAGTGGCTATCGTCTGGGTCCTGGGCCCGGAAGTCCAGTGTCCCTCCTGCACATGCAATGGCACACGTGACATGCACATGACCTAAGGAGCCTGTATGACTCAGCATCGTTTTCTTTGCTCCCTTTAGCCAGTGTGACCGCACACAAAGCAGAAAGGGCCACGTTTACTTCAGGAGTAAAGGAGACTTCGTCAGGGGGTCCGAGGTCCCCACTATCGGAATAGTTCTAAGTGAGCCCCACTAGGTGCCCACCATCAATGCTCGACCTAAGTTAATGAAATACATTAACTTATTTGTAGAAGGAAGAGAAGGAGGTTAGAGAATCCGGTCTGTGACGCCCACGTCCCCTCCTCCCCGGAGGGTCGGCGTGTGGCCCGGGCCCTTGCCCTTTCCAAGCTGCCCCCGTGTTACCTTTCCACGGGGCACCGGGCTCTCCAGTCGCTAAGGCTGGTGTCGTACTCCACAGATATGATTCGGAGGGCAGGACAGTCTCCTGCCAACCACGACTGTGCGGAATAAAAGGTACAAAGGGACGTGTGAACTTCCACTGCCCAGTAACTTCCTGGTCGTTGAAATTCTAACTCAAGGACTCCTGCGGTGTTGGTGACGAAAGACCACTCTGGAGAAACAACTCCAGCATCTTGCCTTTCCACGTCTCTGGTCACCAGGTGGTGTCAACACTGACCGCACAAGGCCAATGCAGGTGTCAAGAGAACATCCTCAGTTTGACCCTCAACAGCCGAAAGCAAGGCCTGTTACTGAGTCCAGATCAGATCGGCTTTCTGAAAGCATTTATGGAGAACTGTGACCCCAAGACAGTGCTGCCTGACAGTTAGGGATTCGACCCGAGAACCCAGGGATTCAAGTCCAAGGCCCTGTCCCTGTTCTCTGTGTCTGTGCCGACCCCGCGCTTTGGTGTCGTCAGAGAGCGCAAATGGCTCTTGCTGCCTATGAGCCTCTGTGAAGGTGGGTGAGCCGCAGCAGGACAGAGCCCTGGACGCTGTGTCCACGTACCTGGCCCAGGGGTTTCCACTGAGCGCTGGATAAATCCCATTCGGTGAATTCACCTCAGGGTCAGGGCTCTTCGGAAGAAACAATGTCCAAGAAACCCAAAGTGGAATTGCTTCTTCAAGGTCTATTTTTTAAATTATTAAAATCATAGAACTAGCCAACTATCATGAATGACATCTATTAATTATGTTTTTAATGGAGGTAAATAGTGACTGGCCCACCCCGTGTCTGTCTTGCTGGAATGCTCTGAGTCATGGGCCGCACCCAGGAGGAGGGAGAATCGGGCCCCGGGGCCCACGAGCATCAGCGGGGCCTTACCTTGGGCCAGCACGTGGTGTGCCTGCGCTCATCCTCCGAAACCTTTTCCGTGAGCACCTCGTCACTGTCCTGCTGGCGCCACGTTTTGAATGCTGCTCCCATAAGGCCGTGAATAAAAAGGACATCTGCTTTAATGGGCTGACTACCAGGGAAAGAGTTTTAAAAAGAAGCAGAATAAACATATTATTGTTTTGGCAAGAATCTACATAGCACTCTCTGTGGATGGTGCTTAGCAGGTTTATAGGACATAAAATTAGGGAAAATTAGGGCAAGCTCTGGGAGCGGAGGTTTGCTGCAGGGATTTTGGCAGAGACACATACGGAGCGGGCTCACTGCTCTGTAAAAACAGAGGCGGGTCCAGCCGGGCGGACCAGCCAGAACCAACTGCCCTGACTTTACTGATCGGTGAGGTGACAGATGTCAGATGACCCTCCAAAGAATTCCATGAAAATGTCCCACGAATCAGTAAAAGTATTTTTTTAAAGACTATGCAAGTGTCACTTCAAAGTCAGTGAGCACAAAAGAGATTTAAAAAAATGTATCAAGGATGATGTTTATCAGAAAGAGTAAATGACATTTTCAAGTAAGAGTCTTCAAATCTGACACTTGCATCTGATTGCAGGGCACACACAATTATGCAAATACTATAATATTTTATTTACAGACTGGAATTAAGCAGGCAATTAATTTTCCATATTAAAGCAGTGTTTGCTGTTTTTTGAGGTAATGAAGTGCCTGACAGAAATCCAAGACATATACAACTTTTTCGTTGTGGTCCTTTCTGCAGTCATGCTCTCAGCAGTGACACAGCTGGAAACAGTGACCGGAAGTCATCCTGAGGAGGAGCAGGAGTCAGATTCACCACAACCTACTCCTTCCAGGGCGTGCGTTCAAAGCCGGCCCACGCTCTCCCCGGTCCCTGGAGTCTAGGCCTGGGCTGGTTCAGCTGCTTGCATGTGTAAGTCATAATGTCCTACCTCCTTCCCATCCAGATTGACCTCTACAGTCCGAATCAGACATTAAACCTACTCGGAAAATGCTGTGAAACAAAGAGATACGCACATGAACTTTAAGTGCAACATGTTGTAAAAGGTGAACGGAACCTTCCTGAACGTAAGTCCTGATACAAAATAACCCGATGCCTTAGCTACGTCCATATTTTCGTGCCAGCCTTCCGTTCTTCCCAGGGGATTATGGGTAAACTGTTTCAGTAAATGAGCTGTGTGACTTATCTGTAAGGAATCTAACTTCTCTAAATTACTTAGAAGTTAAAATGTTAAGCCTGCCAGGCATCCAGCCCCACAGGGACGGGGGCTCTTCCCACCTGGTGCGACACTGGGGGTGGAGCACGTACACGCCATCCTGGTATTTCTCCCGCACCGCGTCTCGGTCCAGATTTGCCAGGGTCCTGGCGGCATGCGAGGCCACCATGATGTGCGGAGACTTCACTGCGTCTGCCAGGATGGAGACCCAGCCTGGGGAGAGAACACACCTCCTCAGTCCTGGCTCGAGCCCGTCACAGCTGCCTGCGGGGTCTCAGGCTGAAGGCGATGGCTGACAGGTGGACCTCAGTGTCAGCCTACACGGAGAAGCTCCACTGCTCCACCTGCATTCTTCCCGAAGGTCCTCCGGGCCCTGCCACAGCGCCATGGTGGTCCCCGCCAGTCCCACTCAGGGGTCTCAAAGCAGGTAGGAGGGGTTCAAAAGGGATTTTATTTAGAAAATCTAACAAAAGTTGCAAATACTACAGATGAGGTCATAAACGATAAGAAAAATCGTCTTTTGCTTTTAGCAAGAATTACGAAACTCACTCCAGTTATTTCATCCTGACTAGCATTCATATCCGCAGCCTTTAACGCATGTGGGAATTAATGTTTAATAATGAGCTTAATAGATTAAAAAATCCTGTAAAACCTGGGACTTAAGGAGGGAAAAAACTTTTAAAGAGAGACAAAGCAGTACAATTTCATTTATTTTGTACGTTTTGGTTTTTACAACGATGTCCTCCTACTTTATGCAAGTAAGTATGTATGAAAGTGTGGGGTGCGTACACACCCCCCCAGAGGCCTGGAAAGAGGCACCCAGTAGTGTCAGAAGGGAACTGGGATTGGACAGGGCCCTGCAACAAGGTGGGTTTAAAGTCATCTGTGTCCTCTGAAGTATGTATAATTATATAAATGATGCACCTGATGCTTTATTTATATAATTTGAAATAAAACACAATATGGGCCTTGAGATCAGAGACCGGGGCTCAAACTTCCATCTCCCGCCTACTTGCTGTGGAACCTCAGTCAGGTCACTTGGCCCCTCCGAGCTGGAAGGAGATTCTGAAAGAGCATCTACATGGAACGAGCCTCCGAGCAAGCCCAGCAGGCACCCAGAGGGCAGCGGCCCCACGCACAGTGCCCGCTCGTCGGGGCCATGGGTGGGACTCGCTGCGCTGGCGGAAGGCCAGTGTTTAACAGCCTCAAAGAAGTTTCAGACCCAGTAACTCTTCCACATTAATGTTCACAGCTGTACTATCAGCAAATCCCTCTTCAAAATGGGCTGGAGAGTGCTTTATAATAAGAAGAATGTTTTAAAATTCTACCTGTAGAGATATACAAATATGTTGTTGGTATGGGCAGAAACATTACTTGATTTTTAATGGAGTCATGAGACTCTGAGAGACAAGAGAAAGTGTGGCACAGGCCATCTCTGTGACAAAGTACTTCACAATGTCTGAGGGGTTTCTTCACCTCTTACAAACCATCAGATGTCCCTTGGAAAAGTGGTGTCTTCCTTTAATATTCAGTGTTTTTAAATTATGTAACCACTTAATACATTGCTAACTGTGAAAACAAAAACACACAGCACTCAACAATGGAAGTCCCAGGGGAGCACTCCCATCATTCCCCACTCCACTTACAGCAAAATATAACTGAAGTGAGAGAAAAGGTTAAAAGCAATGTGTAAGTTTCCACCGGACGTATCTACAGCCTGGCCAGGTAGCTCTGTTGGTGCGTCATCCCAATACGCCGCAATCATGGGTTCGGTCCGGTCAGCGCACGGACAGGAACCAACCAATGAAGGCACAAATGAATGCCACAGCAAATCAATGTTTCTCTCTCTCCCTCTTTCCCCCCCACTAAAATCAATAAATTAAAAAAATGTTTAATCTACAAAAATAGGAACAAATAAAACCTATAGAAAACGGGGCCAAACACATGGTGACAGAAACGCACTGACCCTGGGTGCTGGGCCCAGAACACAAGACAGACCACGCATTACAGAGATGCGCGCTTGAAGGCAAATGACCCTGTTAACCAATGTCACCCACTAAACTTAATTTAAAAAAACACAGTAAGTGGTCCTTTATAAAGTTTGCTGATCCCTCTTCTGCTGATCAAAAGACACTCTTAAATGCAAATTCATAATTTACATAAATGTGAATTTATATAAATTCATATGTAAAAATAAGAACAAATGGATATGCAGCTGACTCTTGAACAATAAGGGGATTGGGGGCACTGACCCTTGCCTGCCCCACGCAATAGAAAATCTGTGTGTAACTGTAGGCTCCTCAAAAACTGCAGCTGTCCCTCAGTATCCGCAAGGGACTTGGTTCCAGGCCCCCCTGCAGATGCTGACGTCCACGGATGCGCAAGTCCCCTGTATCAAATGGGGCAGATCAATGCACACAGTCAGCTCTCTCTGCATCCGTGGACCCCCAACGGTGGATCTCAAACAGTACAGGTATTTACTGAAAAACACCGGCGTGTAAGTGGACACTTCAAACCTGTGCTGTGAAAGGGTCAACTGCACATGTGCAGGTATGCATGTGATGCATGTATGTATGTTTGTAATACAGCACCTACCTTTTTGAATAAAGACACCCCAGGAGCAGTAAGTACACATACTCACCCAGATCTTGGTCTCTGATAACCATTTGTATCAAAGATATAAACATTTAGGTGGTCATCAGCCAAAACCACTCTCCTGTGACTGTCCACACACGGATTATCTTAGGTGTGGATTATCCATACATCTAAAGCAATTCCTGGCTAAAAAGACATGCTCTAAGCAAAGTCTTCAGTGTGTTGAAAAATTAATGTATCATGATGGATGGAGGCAGGAACACAAAAGACTGGACCCAAGATTCTCAGCATATGCAGTTGTTACCTGAGCGAACTATAGCCGGATGAAGATGTTCATTCAAAGCCATGTTGCCGATGATGCGCATGATGTTCCTCTGCACGTTGGGGTAGTCCTCGTGGAGGCGGTACAGCCTCTGAAGCAGTTGCAAGCCTCCATATGCTTCGATTTTATCACAGTGTGTGGGTATCTGGCATAGCAAATCAGTGAAAGCTCACTTAATGTTGTATAAATTCACTCACCAGGTGAGACGGCATGCTGACGGGCAGCCGGGTGGCGGAGTCCCTGAGAGCCCAACCACCCAGCCTCACCTCTCAGCTCACCCAACACACAAACTCCTACCTACGTGGGAAGCACTTCAAAATCACTGAGAAAAATGAGTCATCCCCAGGACGCCTGGAATGTTTATTCTTAGTTATTCTGTTTGGCGTTGGGTTGGATCTAACTTGACAGTGTCATTATTACAGAACTGTTTCCATTTCTAGTGACACTCTGGTTGGCTCAGAGTGGTCTCTACCCTTGAGAAGCCTGCACTCTGATAACAGGACCCCCGTCCAAGTGGCGGCTCCCACAGGGATAAGCAACATTTACCCCATGCAAACTCCCAGTTACTGGGGCTGGCCTAAACTTAGGGGTCAGAAAACTTTTTAAAAGAGAAAGATTAAGAAAAAATAGAAGAAGGGATATAAATTTTTAGTGGCTAAAAGAGGTAAAAGAAAGCCAAAGGAGATGTGTACACTAAGGTAAGGTGACAAAATTGACCAAGTCACTATGTCTGCCAAGGTCACGGCCATGGCCTTGCCTCTTCCCATCACTAGTTTTACTCACTGTCCCATCAGTAGTGACACCATGTCACTCACATTGTGCAACAATTACCATTCTCTACGTTTTCATTAAATGTCATCCCATTTTATATGCATTTAAAAGTATGCCTCTTAGACATCAAGTGCGGTGTGTCACAACTTGAGAGGCTTTCGGAATTCCGTGCACTGTACTTTGCACTGAAGATGCATGTACTGCTTCAGAAACTAGACGTAAATCACAAAAACTTGAGCTAGTTGTCCTACATCCCTGCTGCAGTCCAGTACTAACTCTGCTTTGTCCTTGGCTCCTACTTCCACAGGGGGGACCTCATGTGACCAGAAAGCACCATGCTTCTGAGCTGACGCCAGTGGTTACCAAAGTTAAACGGGAGAGTTTGGAATGTCTAGGAGGATGTTTGTCACCACGTGGGAACCCCCTGCAGCAGCCTCACTGGGGACGTCTGGTACGAATGCCCGCTCCTGGGACCCCCCCCCGCCCCTCCCCCCCCCCCGTACCATCAGACTGCTACAGGTGAGCGGGAAGTGTGTGTTTCCTGAGTGATTAGCACACTTCCTGAGTGATTTCTATGCACTTTGTGTTTGAACACCACAAAGTCTGTTACTTTTTCTCTTTTTTTTACATCAAACTGTGATCACAATAGAAAAGTTGCCGTAATACCAAGAAATCTGAAAATCATTGATATATGCTATGGTTAAAATTTGGTCATTCAAATATTTTTCTACCTTGACACATCTTTGACAGATGTTTTCATGGAAATTAACCACCTGATAACATGATAACATTACTTGTAATAGTGATCTGAGAAAGGTAGAAGACAGTATAACTCAAAGATAAATGCTGTATTTAGACAATGCTCTGATTTCTTCGTGTGCAATTAATGTTACATCCATTTTTAGAAAAGCTTCGTGAGATGAAATTCATGTATCAGTGCTAAATCATTTCTTATCAATTTCAACAATCGAATGGGGAGAAAAGCGGAAATTGAAAAACAACACAAAGCTTCTTTTATACTAAATGAGGATGACTTCCCTTGAATAAACATGCATATGCCTAATTTTATGGTAAAAGTAAAAGAAAGGGTAGGTTACCTCAGAATGTCTTACTAAAGCTTCTAAACAGAACATTTCCACTGTCGCTGAAGGAACTTCTCCAAAGCTCTCCGCATAAGGAAGTCCATTTCCTCCAAAACACCATAAGCCACCCTGAAAGTGAGATAATTAAAACTTTTGCTTAAAAAATATGACTAAGCCCTGGCTGGTGTGGATCAGTGGATTGAGTGCCGGCCTGCAAACCAAGAGGTTGCAGGTTCGACTCCCAGTCAGAGCACAGGCCTGGGTTGCGGGCCAGGTCCCCAGTAGGGGGCATGTGAGAGGCAACTAATCAATGTTCTTTTGCACATCAATGTTTCTCTCCCTCTCTATCTCCCTCCCTTCCCCTTTCTCTAAAACTAAATAAAATCTTTTTGTAAATGCCTAGTATTTTTTGTTGGACAAAAAAAATCTTTGCACTATACACAATATTATAAAGAACCAATACATAGGACTCTAAATATTATGGGAACTTTAATTATGCAAACTGTGGCTTACTAGGATAGAAAACATGGAATTATCCCTAGAAGAGAACAATCTCTTGAGTCTTTCTCAATTCTTTCCCCTTTGTACCTGAAAGTACAAAGTACAAATACACAATTCCTTGTATGTACGAAAAGCCAGGGTTAATCTAGCCAAGTCTACTTAAAGTCTATTAATCAAGATGATAAAAAAGGAAAAAGCATTATCGAAAAAAAATGAAGGCAGTGATGACAAAGGTCATGCAGTTTTTAATCCTTCCCAAACTGAAATTCAAGTCCATATGGAAGAAAAGAAGAAAAAGGAAAATTGTATGAAACAGAATAGTGAAGAATAGTCCTAATAGATATTAAACACATGTAAGAATAAAGTGGGGAAAGAAAATTTCAACTCTTACCACAAATTAAGAGCTAATGTCACTAATATGCTATGATCTCCTACAAATCAGTGAGAAAAATACCAACAATGCCATGGAAAATGAGCAACCATCACAAAAGGAAGTTCTTAGGAAAAGAAATACAATGCCTCTAAAATACATAAAATGATGCCCAACACCGCTCATAATGAGGGGCGTGCATGGCAAAACCGCACTGAGAAAGGACATGTGTTCACCTGTCTCCCAGTGATCCCAAGCACCTGGCCCTGGGCAGGCACACACCTGGGAGCTGGTGACTCATTCCTGTGGCACCGGCACAGTGCCTTGGAAAGTGTGGGCTCTCGGAAATATTTACGGGGTGAACAGGGGAGCTGACCTTCTGCGCCGCCAGGCTCTGACTGCTTTCGCTCAGAGCCAAAGACGTAAAATACTGGATACACTCATCCAGATCTGTTTGGGGTAAAGAAGCCAGCAACCATCTGAGTTCCTCCTCGATGGAAGAATCCTGAAATAAAAGGAAGATAAATTCTTCACAATGAAGCTCAACAACTGAATGCAACAAAAAGTACTAAAAGAATCTAAGCCCAAAAAGCAAACAACAAACAAAAAAACTGCAGAGATGAATTAGTGCTTTTTAGTCTCAAAAAAAGTCACCAACCCAGATAAACAGAGGATTAATTTTGAATTCTGTATTTTCATGTCTGCTACCTCGATCTGAAAGACTTATTGCAAAGTATAACTCAACATTTTTACCTCATAGGCTACTTCACATCTTGATTCAAAATGAAAGTTACTATCTGATTTTCCCTAATAACTTATATCTAGTCTATCAGTTTTTCTATTTTTCAAAAACTGACAGCAACTTTTCAGAGCTTCATTTTCCAGTCTAGGAAAGAAGCACGCTCAAATGTCTGTATTACTGATTAAAAACTGGTGTCTCTATGTATTAACACGTTAGTAACTACGTAGCGGTTCTCCAGCCCTGTCTTGTACCTCAGGAGACATTTAGGAGCACCTGGAAACATTCTGGTTGTCACAGTTTGGGATTGCTGCTGGAATCTACGGAAAGGAGGCCAGGGATGCTGTTCAACACTCTACAATGCACAGGACAGCCTCCAACAAAAATATTATTTGGCCCAAACTGTCAATAGTGTTGAAGTTGAGAAAAATCTCATCTAAACATTGTCTTAGATCAAGGGACCAATTCATGCATGCTGATATGCTATGAAGTTACCCTCTGGGGTAGGAGACCCCTAGTACCGAAAACGGAAAATGATACAAGAGAAACAGCATTCCTAAGGAATCAAGAACTCTGTGTGTGTGAAAACTACAATCTCAGGTTGACTGGTTTACCTGCTTGTAAAAAGTAGCCAACAACTGCTCAAAAACTGCTTTTTGAGTGTTTATCCTGCACCCAAAGACTATGTATCAACCCTTTTCTCACTCACTGGATTATTTTATTGACTTACTTCTTTTAAAGATGGTAAAGGAGGCGGAGGGAGAAAGAAGCGAAGGTCGCTCTCTCTGCTTCGTGCCAGCCCGATGAGTGTTCTCAGGTCGCAGGCCTGGGCGACCGTCCGATACTGGTAATCTGTAGTGAGAGTCTGCTGTCAGCGGCCAGCGGCCTTGGAGCTGTGCCGGGCATTATGCAGACAGCCTACTCGAAAGCAACCTAATTTCCAGATTACACGTTTATGCTCCCCAATTATTTTTCCAAACTACAACATCAATAAGTGGCATACGCGGCATCTCCACATCTGCTCTCACAATTGTCCTCACCACACATCTGATGTCTCGGTACATCGGGGTCTAACTAACATTTCTGAAAAGAGGAACCTCAAATGGGAACATTGATAGGTCAAAACCAATTAACTGCTCTTTAAAAATGATTCTAGCGTTCAAAGTCTCGATCGCTACCCCAAACCCTGCAATTGCATCTTGGTCCACACTCCCTGGCAGCAGGAACAGGCCTTCGTTCCCTCCTGCCCACAGACAGGCTGAGGTTCCGGACGGTGGGGCTTTGCTTTAGCCTCCCAGGTTGGCCACTCCACTCCTTACACACTGCTCCAGAGTGAGTGTGTCCCCCAGTCCACATGCATGTTGAAACCTAACCCCCAATGTGCTGGTATTTGGAAGAACAACCTTTGGGGGTGATTAGGTCATGATGAGACCGGAAGAGACCCCAGAGGGCTGCCGTGTCCCTTCCAGCAGTGAGGAAACAAAGAAAAGATGGCCGGCTATGAACCAGGAGGCAGGTCCCACCAGGCACCAGCTCTGCTGACCCCTGAACTAGGACTTCTGGCCTCTGGAACTGTAAGAAAGACATTTCTGTGGTTTATAAGCCCCCCCAGTCTAGGATACTTTATAAAGTGCAATTACAGCCACCAATCAACTAGTTAACTTACGTGGAGGCAAAGATCTTATTCTGAGACTTAACTTGCTTTGAGAACATTGTTATTTTCTGTTACTCATTTTTATGACACGAAACTACTCACAAAATGCACATTAGTCTCTGTACTAGAATTAGAGCAGATCTGAGCTCTGGGCTCATGTATTTTTACTGCAAAACTTGTGAGTTTTAAACATAATTAAGTATTTTGAATGCCCCTTAAAATGACATACACACACAAATTAGATACACTTGACTAATTATTAGTATCAGAGCCAATTGTCAAGTGAAAGCAAATATAATTGTGTGGCAGCAAACAAAATATATTTTATTACCTAAGAACCAAAAAAAAAAAGGAAACACAACATCAGGCCATAACTATCACAGTCAAGAGTTTCTGGGATCGAAGAGAACCCTGTTCTTGTACAAAGTCACACAAATAAATCAGCCTTGGTCTGGAGGTGGTTCTGATCAAGCGTGTCTGGTTAGCAGGCCAGGGGGCTTTCACTGGAGTTTCCTTTTCAATTTCTGGAAATATTTTCAATATACGCTTAAATTGCCTGAATTATTTCCCTTCCTTGAAACCTCATTCCCTTCTTGTTCCTGTGAGAAACGGAGAGCTGGCCGCTGAAGTGCCATGCGTTCAGGGTCATTACCATGCCAGTGGTGGGCCTGCGACATTTCCTGCACGGCCTGCCATCGGGCTGACGGGTCGTCCGACTTACTCCTGCGCAGGAGCAGCCACGAGGCACACTCGTGGTCCTCTACGTCAACTGTACTGAAAGTGTCTTCGCAGAGAGAAACAAAAAGGCAGCATGAGCAATGTGAACAGTTAGAAACATTTTTATCCTCCCATTGCTTCAATGTGGTCATTTATAAATATTTGAAATCTAAAATAGGAGAGTTAAATCTATTTCCAGGTATTGATATTAACTAATACATTTATTCTCAGTTCTGTCGTATTATTTAACTTTATTTTTCTTGTTGACACTATTGTTTTTGTCCCCATCTCCCCCTGTCCACCTCCACCCACGCCCTGCCCCCCTTCCCTCTGGCCATCACCGCACTTTGGCACTTTGTCTGAGTCCCGCATCTGTGTTCCTTGGCTACTGCCCCACCTTCTCTCACCCGGTGCCCCTCCCTGCTCCCTCTGACAGCTGTCGGTCTGCTCCCCGGGTCCCCGCCTCTGTTTCTGTTTTGTCAGTTTATTCTGCTCATGAGGTTCCACCATTGGGTGAGAGCGCAGTCGTCTTTCTCTGCCTGGCTAGTTTCACTGAGTATAATAGTCTCCAGGTCCCTGCTGTCGCAAAGCATAGAATTTCCTTCTCTTCACGGCCACGGGTGTGACTCCACTGTGTGAATACACCAGAGCCTTTGGTCCACTCATCTGCTCGTGGGCAGTGGGGCTGTTAACAGATCTTGGCTACTGCACATACTGCAGTGAACACGGGTGCATATGTTCTTTCAAATCGATGTTTCGGGGCTCTTAGGGTATATGCCCAGAAGTGGGATCGCTGGTCATTAAGGCAGTTCCATTTCTAGTTTTTTGAGATTCCATATTGTTTTCCACAGTGGCTGTACCAATCTGCATTCCCACCAACAGTGCACGAGGGTTCCCTTTTCTCCACACCCTCACCAGCACTTGTTGATGTATTGATGGTAGCCATTCTCGCAGGTGTCAGGTGGTATCTCACTGTGGTTTTAATTTGCATTTCTCTGATGGCTAGTGATGTTGAGCATTTTCTCATGTGTCTGTTGGCCATCTGCATGTCCCCTTGGCCAAGTGTCTGTTTGGGTCCTTTGCCCATTTTTTAAATTAGGACTTTGTCTTCCCAGTGTTGAGTTGTATAAGCTCTTTATACATTTAGGAAATTAACTCTGTCAGATGTATCATTGGCAAATGTGTTCTCCTATACAGTAGGTTCCCTTTTCATTCTGTTGATGGTTTCTTTTGCTGTGCAGCTTTTCCATTTGATGTAGTCCCATTTGTTTACGTTTTTCCTTTGTTTCCCTTGCCTTGGAGATATATCAGCAAAAATATTGCTGTGAGAGATGTCTGAGATTTTACTACCTGTGTTTTCTTCTAGGGTTTTTATCATTTTTATGGTTTCATTTATCCATTTTGGGTTTATTCTCATGTATGGTATGTCAAATTATTTTTTATATTTATTGTATGTATTATCTATGTGCTTTTGTCTGATAGACTATGTTGCTTTCACTACACTATGTGGTCTTTTTTTTTTCCTTTTTCCCTAAAAAACTTTTCACTGTAGAAAATATCAAACATATTGGAGAACTGAAAGAATAATACATTAATATTTATATGCCCACCACAGCTAGATTCAATAACTGTTATTTGCCATATTTGCATATTCTATATGCATGTCTATATTTTTTTTCTAAACTATGTGAAAGGAAGTTGCAGACATAGGGCTTTTACCCTTCCACAGTTCACACGGACTCTCCTAAATATAAGCCTGCATTCTCCGATGTATAATTACGGTAACTGCCCTGGCTGGTATGGCTCAGTGGGTTGAGTGCAGCCTGCAAACTGACAGATCGCAGGTTCAATTCCAAGTCAGGGCATGTGCCTGAGTTGTGGGTCAGTTCCCCAGTTGGGAACATGTGAGAGGCAACCTATAGGCACATCAATGTTTCTCTCCCTCCTTTCCTCTCTCTAAAAATAAAATATTTTTTAAAACATCACAATGCCATTGCAACCCCAGAGAACACTAACAAACACTCTCCAAAGTCATCTAAAATCCAGTCTAACTCCATATTCAAATTCCTCCAATTGTCCCCAAAATATATTTAGAGTTGTTTTTATAAAACCAGGATTAAGGTCTTTGTAGTCTCTTTTAATTCTAGAAAGGTTTTCCACTTTTTCACTTTCATGACTTCAACTTTTTAAGGAGATCCGGTCAGCTCTTTTATAGCTAGCTCCACACCCAAGGGTTGCTGGTTCTGAAATCCATATTTTTGATGCAATATTCTCATTATGAGAAAGCATGGAAGAGATTCAACGGATTTTAAATTCTGAAGAGGGTGTATTTAGCCTTAATATTTATTTACAAGTATCTAACAATAATATATCCTCAAAGATAGAAGAAGAAAACTGTCCAAGGAGTCAAGCCTTAAAATTAAATACAGTCCAAAAGAATAAAGTTACTCAGCTTTTCACTGCGATAATAAATGTCAGCATGGGAGATGGGAAAATGTCTCAGGTGCGCCATCAGATTTGACTTTCAGAATACTGATCGGTCTTCCAGGGAAACACTGGGTACTTACCAGCAAACGGACCCCGTAATATCTTGGCTGAGATGGCCAATACTTTTCTTACTGCTTTGTGAAGCTCTTTTCTTGCCTGGTAGGTGAGTCCTAAAGTGATTACAAAGTTAAATGACATTGAATATGTACTCATAATGCCAAGCTCCAATACTTCAAAGAGAAATATAAGTTAAAATCTATGATGTTTCAAAGAGAAAATATAAAATAGCATATTGTGTTTCTGTAGTCACTGTCAAAGCAGTTGGAACCATCATTAAGTCCCAAAACGAGACTGCTCTCCAAATCGGGGAAAGGTTGAAAATAAACACACCGATGCTAACAAAAACCCTCACGTACAACACAGTATTAGCTACTTTCAGGAAAACTTCCCCTAAAAATAGTCCCTTTCAAACTAAAATCTGGAGCTATCTAGCTGAGATCAAGCTTCACTCTACAGGTGAATTACGAACATAAAAACTGTAATCGAAAAAGCACACCATAAAAGCACGCTGAAATACAGGGAGGTGAGGTAAGAGGACACGAGCAGCGTGTCAATGGGGAGCAGTGCACCTGCCCCACGAGGAGATCGCAGAGATCGAGATGCACCAGCAGGCACAGTGACTGCAGCTGACGAGCAGCCACCCACAGCCGTGAGGTGACTCACCTCGACACCCACATCCTGATGGAAAGATACTCCTCTGCGCTGAACTTTCCTGTTCGCCCAGCCATTGTCTGATCGCTAACTGGGTTTCCACGAGACCTAACGATGGCGAAGAGGAATGTCCTGACTAGTAAAGCCAGGTTTTCTAGTCTTCATGGCAGATCTTTTCCCTCTGTAATTGTCTGTATTCATATTTATAAATCCATCCCATCAGTCTAGTGTCCATAATGAACAAATCCCTTAAACCAGAAGTATCTCTGAGTTAAGGGACAGAATCAGGTTTTTATGTCCGCCAGACTGAGGGCCAGTCCCTGAATGACAGTCCCCACTAAGGTGTGGAACTGCAAGTTCAGACTAAAGCAGCCGGCTTTCACTTCACTTAGTTACAAGAGAGCAGCAGACCTGAGTTACATGTGGAAGTCAGAAATTTGGTCTTCAGTGAACTCTTCAAGAACTTTGTTCTCACAGGGTTTTGTGATTCTTAGCACTCATGGGACGAATGTTATTAATACTGTGTTTTAAATACTCACTTTAAAATTAAATAACTAGCTCCCATTTTTCACAATGATAACTTTATCATCAACTTACCATAATTTTCTCTTTTATCTAAAGAAACTGTGGGCACATATATATATGACTTCATTTTCTCTCTTTCTACCACTTGAGAATCTAACGTCAAAGACTTCTTCAGGGCCAGAACTTCGTATGTAAGAAATAAAGAGCCTCTTAAAAAGAAACAAAAAATTCATCAAAAAATAGATGACATACATGTGACACATGAGTTACTCTTTTATTAAGCTTTAATTAACTTTTCTTTTTTGAGAAACATAATATATGTACAGTAATGTGCATATACCATGTATTACACACACATAAGAAAAAGTATGTTTAAAGCACACACACACTTCAGTTAAGAAATAATAATAGCTACATTACCATATCCAGCCAAAAAAAAACCAAACACAACTTTAACAGTAAGTACCCAGAAGCCCACACTGTGTCCCTTCCTGATCCTGACATACTCTCTCATCTCTACAGCTAATCATTATTATGACTTTTATTATAGTAATACTCTTGCTTTTCATTATATTGGGTTGGCCCAAAAGTTCGTTCTGCTTTTTCCCATATGTTGGCTCTAGTAGTGAGCGCTTAGTTGTCTTTAACTTTATTCGAAACAATTTTGTAAGACTGTACTGTGACAGCTGTACTATCAGCGTGCGTTTTTAAGAAACACCAAAATTGGTGCATTTTTGTATAGCCATTTGAATAATGAAGATATTAAGTAAATAAGAAAATCAACATTTTTGGCATATTATGCTTTATCATTTCAAGAAAGGTAAAAATGCAGCTGAACATAAAAAAAGATTTGTGCAGTGTGTGGAGAAGGTGCTGTGACTGATTGAATGTGTCAAAAGTGTAGGCCCTGGCTGGTGTAGCTCAGTGGATTGAGTGCAGGCCTGTGAACCAGAGTATCGTGGTTTGATTCCCAGTCAGGGCACAGGCCTGGGTTGTAGGCCAGTTCCCAGCAGGGGACACATGAGAGGCAACCATACATTGATATTTCTCTCCCTCTCTCCTTCCCTTCCCCTCTAAAGATAAATAAATAAAATCTTAAAAAAAAAAAAAAGAAAACCTTTAAAAAAAAAAGTGTAGACCAGTTGAAGTTGCTAGCGATCAAAACAAGACATTGAGAAGTCAACATTATATCAGACGGGAGATAGCTGTCATACTCAAACTATCCAAATCAAAAAGTTATTGGTGAAAATGAAAAGTGTGTTTTTTGTTTTATGGAAAAAACTAAACGGACTTTTTGGCCATCCCAACAGTTTACCATCTACACACGCATCCGTAAACAACATTTGTCTGCCCGCAAACCTCACAGGAAAGGAGTCGCACCGCACGTATCCTTCTGTTCAGCCCTCTGTCTGTGAGATTCATCCGTGCTGTTGCACGTATCTGAAGCTCAGGCGCTTCCACCTTCATACGGCTGTGATTCAAACTGTACGAATACACCGCAACTTCTGTGTCCGCTCTACCACAGACGGGTGTTGAGGGGATTTCTAGTCCGAGTCCATTACGGACAGCACTGCTACAACACGCCACACACATCTACAGTGCACACGTGTGTTTTGTCCCTCTAGGGCATGTAGCTAGAAGCAGAATTACAGACTTTCTGACAGCATAGATATGGTTCAACTTTACTAGATACGGCCAAACTGTTTAACAGTTTTTTCAAAAAGAGTAGTCAACCTGGACTCCCGTCACCAGCACAAGGAAGTTGCTCCTCTCCTAAGAGTTATACCTAAAGCCCATTTGAAACATTAACGCACCGTGTTTGTTTGTTGCATACCCCCAAATGCAGGTGCTGTTTCCCCGAATCGGACTGACCTGCACACTCCCTCAATCCAGACACGAAGGCTGCCCTCTGTCTGGATTCAGAGCTTAGTGGCATCAGCTGTGCTAACCCTTCTCCAGAGCGTCCTCCCCTGAGCAGACGCAGGTGAGGCAGAGAGGCCAGACACTGGCCAGGACCAGAGGAATAGAGAGAAGGCTCGAGAGAATCCGCTTCTCTCCTGGGGACCCACCTGAGCAGCCAAGGCGAGCAAACGTGTTCAGTACTTTTATCATGCTTTCCACAAGAGACAAACTTTCTTTAGTAAAAGTTGTGTGGTTAATTTCCACGCTATTCCTGAATATAACTGTGATACAGACAGAGAAACTTCTTTACAAAAAAAGAGTACTTTTGCCTGGAATAAGTCAAAGGGAAAAAAATCATCTAAATATGTTTTGCCTGACCTCACAATATCATGGAGAAATGTATGTATTTGGATAAAATGCCAAATATGTCTCCTTAATCATTTTAGCATCTCAGAGTTGACTTCATACAACAAAAACACCAGAGCAGTATCAGACGTGCATTAAACACACACAGGATCCGGCAGAGGGAACACCACTGAGTGTGGTCGGCAGGGTACGTGAATGTCTCCCACGAGGTGGAGAGCAGTTTGAACGTTTCACCCAAAACGTCACGTGGTGTGCTTGAGTGTGATGTTCTTATGCTACAGAAGTACCTGCTTATGGTTTTGTAATAGAAGATTTATATGTAGTAAAAAAGGGGCGTTATTTGTGCCGGAGCTGGTATATATCACACCCTCCTCCAAAAACAAGGAAAAAAATAGAATGAAAATGCAATTTTCGCAAAGTCACTCCATGCATTGAGCAAGTGCCTGTGAACGGCACGTGACGGGCGACATCATCCCTGCCGTTTTCCCAGTCAGCCTCAGTTTCCTCCCATGAGAGCTTCGTGGTGATTCATAAGATTCCCCCAAATTATTGTGACAATAGTGGGTTTTTACCTTTTCCACCCACTTTAGAATCTGAGAAAAGATGTGATTTCAGGCGTGTGGAAGCTACTTAGTGAGTCCCTGCTCTGTCCCTATCATTCACTTGGACCCAAGAGAACCCAAGACCTGGATAGTGAAGTAGCTGTAGCTGCTACTGAAGTGGCAGATTCGGTGATGAATCCACCCAATTCCAAAATCTATACCCTCCTCACTCCCCCACGCCACCTGTAAATCACTTCCACTGAAATTTCAATTAGCATATAATGAAGCCAATTTCACTGTTGACACTTACCCTAAAATAAGTGATCCAGTAAACTTTATTATATTTCCTTCAAAAAGAAAAAAAATAGGTCAATGTAATGAAGTTCATTTTAAAAACGTGACCAGAAATAGGCACATTCAGATAAGAAGTTATTGATATTTCTCCATTAAAATAAGCAGCTGCTATCAACACAAGGCTTACTATCCCCAGACAGAAACGAACAAACCAGTAAGCACTGAGTACAAACACAGAACCTATATTTCACATTCATTCTCCCCTCCCTCCCAGGTCCCACAGCCCTGCTGGGACTGCCAGACCCACAGAGCTGCCACCGAACACCACGTTCAGGGGGCCAACTTCCCTTCTGGCTCCTTTTAGTTCACAAATAAGTAAAGGCCCAGGGACATTTCTCCCCACCACACCAGATGTCATCTTTGTGTTTGGACTCAGGACTCACTTTGGTGGTGGCAAGACAACCCGCGTTGTCATGATTTATATGATTCCTTGGATTATGAAAGAATAATGGACTCAAACATACACTTGCAAGACATGGCCCGAGTGAGAAGATCTCAAGAAAATGGTAAAAACACCTGGTGCATAATAGGTGTTAAAAGTAAACATCTGACAACTGAAAGATGATCTAGGCCAAATAAGAATAAGAATTAGTGGTAAATAAAGATTTACTAAAAAAGACAGATCAGCACTGAATGCTAAGCACCCTCCCGTAAATCGAGTGCAGCTGCCTTCCTCACCACTGAATTCACAGAACCTAACATACATGCAGGGCACTGTGTTTTGCAGGGGCTTAATAAATAGCTGCTGAATGAGAATGTGTAACACTTAAGCTGACTTCACAAGGATTAGTATGAATCTGAGAGGAAACACAGGGGAGGGAGAGGACTCCCAAGAAAGAGGAGTGTGCACACCTCTGGGCCTACCAATGGGGGTGGGCCATAAGCCCAGAAAAGACATAAATAAATCGATCAGAAACTGTTGTTTAACCAGTACTCACTGATATCCTTCCAGTACGTGTTGCTTTTTGGAGGAGGATTTGAGGTTCCTATTCTTCTACAACAGATGACACAATAAGCAGCCAGGGACATTCTGTGTATTTAAGACAATGACAAGAAATTTAGTTTAGCATCTAGTTAAAAACTATCTTTTACTAATAACACGTCACAATCACAGTGGACTGCCCACAGAATTAGACTTTTCAAGACTAGGAAAAAATATTTTCATTAAAAAAGTCTTTCTTTCTTGATTTATTTCTAGTTAACTTTAGTTTTGACTACCATTATGAGTATGTTATTAAATTCCTAGTTATTGCTGGTGTAGAGAAGTTATATTTTTATTCAGAAATCTTTCTGAAGAGCATTTTTCTTTTTCTTTTCAGTTTACTGAGTAATCCTCTTTCCCACTGATTTGTGATCATTCCTTTACCTTATAAATTTGTGTATGTATACACACACACACGTTTTTGTTTTGTTTCTGGCTGGCTCTTCTGAGCCACTGATCTGTCTCTTTTTGTACTCCTATCACTGTGTTTTAAGTGCTCCAGTTTTAGATATTCTGACAGTATTAATCCTGTCTCAAACTTTTTTGTAGCTATCTATGTCAGTTTCCTCTTCCTGATAAATATTATAATCATTGTGTCAGGAGCGCTGGTTCCTCCCCAGAGCCACCAAAGTCATATAGTCTGCAGGACCTAAAGGCCATTTCTGACACCACCCGACCAAAGCGGCTCCTCCAATCACTGTATCACATCGCCACCTGAAACCTCCCTGTCAACTGATTTCAGTGTCTCTTTCCCCTCACTACAATCAGTCACTTGTTTACCATTGTAACCACAGTGTCTAGACTAGTGTCCAGCATATATTTGGTGCACAAAAATCTTTGTGGAACAAATGAATGGAGGTTTGAAATCTGGATGATTCAGAGAAACAGGAAGAAAAATAGGCTTTGAAGTGAGGGTGAAAGATGAGAAGTAGCTCAGTTTCAGAGGAGACATTCAGAGTAGCATGGGGCAGGCATCAAGCTGGCTTCTGGAGCGCAAGAGTGAGGGAGGTGCAAGGCGATGAAACTGCTGAGATGGTCAAGAGGAATGCTTGCAAGAAGGAAAGAATCCTTGGGAAGAACTGAGCAGATTAAAGAGAGCGCACACGCCCACAAAAATATGGAGACCAAGGGGAGGGAAAAGATTTGAGGTCTAGAAGAAAGGAAGTAAGTGGAAAAGCTGGGTTCCTAAATCATACAAACACAAAGTAAAAAGCAGCATGAGCTCAACCGAGAAGTGCAATTTACCTAAGGAACAGAAAGCAAGAACCTGATCTCCACTGGTAAAAACAGAGAGAGCGAGCTTGGTTAGAATGCAGACCAAAATTTGGGGAAGTTAATTAAGTCACCTGGGGTCTCCCACGTAAAATGCCTGTTACCCGGCTTAGAGAACTATCGGCATTTAATCTACCCAACCTCCAGGAGCAGAGCTACAATCTGAGGTCTGGAAGGTTCCAGTTTGAATGGACATTGTTTCGTCCTCCTGGTTAACATCATTCCATCACTACAGCACCCGCATTGATGGCACCCTCACGCGAGGAACCAGAGAGGAACGGTTAACCGGAATGGGTGGGCTGCCAAGGCTGCGAGAGGCCCTCATACCCGGCGGAGGGTCAGAGGGTCAGTCGAGGCCGCCCGTCCACGCGGGGGCGCCCCGGCCGCTCCCCAGCCAAGCCCCGTCGCCATTCGTCCATCTCCCCGCGTTGCCGGGTTTTGCTGACGTCGAGGCCCACCCCTGCGAGCCTGGGCTCGGCTTCCTACCTGTCGGCACTTGGACTTGGCCTGCCCGCAGCTGCTCACAGAGGGCCAGGTCACCAAGGCGACCACCTTTCTCTTCGGCGCCCTGCCCGCGCCCTCCACCCAGCGGCGGGCGGTACGTGACCCCGCCCCCAGCGCTCACAGCTCCGCCCCTCGTCCCCGCCCCCGCCCCGCCTTCCACCTACAAGGGGTCGCCGGCGTGATGACGTGACGGGTGCTGGCGTACTGTGTCCACGTCGCGGAGGCGCTGCTGGGTCTGTAGGTGCAGGTACGAGGCGTCTGTTCCCGGAGCGAAAGGGAAAAGTAGGGTCTGTAAGAGATGGAGAGGTCTTCAGGAAAGTGAGGAGGGGGCGAGGAGACCCAGAAGCCTGTCGTCCAGGTGTTGGGGTTCAGGGTGGTGTCCCGCACCGTCTCCGGGCCTTTCTCACGAGGGCGGGCGGCTGGTCTGCAGTAGTTGAACCGTGAATTAACTGTGGGCAGGCATTGCTCCGCGACCGTGTGTAGAAGCTTAAGGGTTAGGTTGACGTGTATTGGGTGGGTGTTTTTCCTTTTAGCGCAGATCTTTGGGGAACTTCATTGATTTGCTAAAAACACAAGTTCAGAGACCTGGCTTGTACCCATTTGCGGGCCGAGCATGGGGGTAAAGCTACTGCTTAATCTCTTACAAGACTTGGGCTCATTATATCATTTTTAAGGCCCATTTCAGAGCTACCACTCTGTGATTCCTGTCTCCCAGAATCTTATTTTTGGGAGGGAAAAGAGGCGGGGAAGAGAGGTTTTTGAACTGATGTTTTAAAAACTAGACTGGACACACGGTGTTGTTAAGCCACTTGGCTTTCATTAGGATTGGGTAGAATTTGTTTGCAGGCAAGGTTTATATGTTAATATTCCAATAAACTCATAATTTTTTAAAGTTTGGAATGCGTATGTTTTCTTAATGTTAGCACTATGTTTTTCACAGACTTGACTGGTTGCTAGGATTTCATATTTTGCCTCATTTCAGGGGTAAACCTCCAAAGTGTATTAAAGTTGATGCTTTTTAATTTTGTGTCACCCTATTCTTTTTAGCATTTGTAAGATCATCGGCACTGTCTGACTGAGGAGAAGATGGTCAACGTCTTGAAAGGAGTGCTTATAGAATGGTTAGTAGTTTTGACACTGAATGAGGGTTTTTTTTCTTTTTTTTCATTAATTACTTAGTTGTCTTTCCTCTGGCAAACCCTGAGCCACCCACTTTCACCAGGCTGCCTAGGAAAGTATAGGAACGAGAATATACAGGGCAGGCAACACATGGGAGAAAGAACTGTGGGAGGCAGTGACGGCTCGTTCACATGGTGAAGAGGATGAGAAAAGCCACCGTCTGGGCCTCTGAGAGGGCAAAGCCCAGGGTGGCGTCGGGGAAGAGCCATTGCTTCAGAGAAGGCTCCTGACATAAGCAATGATGAGCCCTAAATTCCAGCCTCAGAGCCTGCCACACCTACTGTGGCAGCCCCAGCGAACTTCGCCACTGTGTCAGTGTCTCTTGAAATGGCACTGGTTTGGAAAGCTTGCAGCTAGAAATAAGTGAGGTCGGAGGATGTGGGGCTGCCAAGCTGCTGAGTGCACCTCTGTCCGTGTCCCTGGTCGCTTCAGCACCCCTTCAGGTAGTGACCGGCTCCGCCACTGAGCCACTGAGCGGAGCTCCTGACCAAGGCAGGGGTGGAGACAAGCTTGGGGCAGGTGTACATTCCAGCGGGGGCCGGAGGCGGGGGGGTGGCTATGCTGTGGTGGGAGAGCTGCTCCCAGTGTGGAGAAGTCAGAAAGGGCCTTAATGAGTTTTTTAAGATTCTTTTTTCTTTTAAGGTGGGAATGAATTGAGATTTTCAGCTTCTACACTTCATTTCTTTTACTTGCGTAACAAGTGGGGCAGATTTTGTTGCTAAGTTTCCTCCTGGTGCCAGATTGCACTGTCTCTGCTGAGTTTATGTAATTGGCAGTGTGTCCACTGAGTGTTGGTCAGAGGCAGCATACTTGTTAGGTTAGCCCTCTTTAGAGGAACAGTGCTGCTGTTCTAGAACCTCCAGGGGGTGGCTAAAATTATTGGCAAAGGTGAGGAGGGCACCAGTGGAGTCAGACAAACCTTGGTTCACCAGAAATGTTACCCTAGGGGGATGAACTTGTGCTGACGAGGAAAGCATTCAGTGCCGAGACTCAAACTCTAAGAGAAGCTTTACTTAGAATGTCCCAGAGGTGGAAGAAGTGAGCAGTGTAAGAAATGGGGTGGGAAGGAAGTTACAGAGGCAAAAGAAAGGGCCCTTGGGGCCTAGGAGAGAGAAGGGCGAAGGTAACTCACCTTGGGGGGGGGGGAAGAGAAGAGAGATGGGAGGGAGAGCAAGCTATGTCCTCCTACCTAAGCATTTGTAAGGGCAGAGATTTTAGGGGAGGGCCCAAGGGGAGGGTCTCAATAGAATGTTCATCAGCTCTCCAGGTGTGTCTTTTAGGGTCCTGGTCTCCAGTGATTAGTCAGCACCAGGTCATTAGTGCAGCTGTTCCTGAGGTCACCCTTGGTGTAGTTTGTCTGGTTTTGCTGCTTTTCTGGGCCTGGAGCTGAAACACAACTGAGGCCTAGATGCTATATCCCCAGGGTTTAATGTTTGAGGGAATTGTGGTGCAAGTCTGAAATGGGAGTCTCATGAGGCTCTATTTCAGCCACTTGTCCCTTCTCCGAGGGGTCTCCCACATGACCAGCGACAGGGGAAGAAAGGTCAGGGGAGGGTCTGAGCACATGACCAGCAGTATGGAAGGTCAGGGGGTCTAAAACCCCAGGATCAAATACTGGGTGAGGAAATGTTACCCTAGGGGGATGTGCTTGTTTTGCCATTTTTCCCTGTTGCTAGGCACCAAGGTGGCTTTCTACCCTGGTGACCTTCTGTACCTGGCCTATTGTCCTTGCTCTGCTCACGTCTGTCTAATTGCTGACCACAAAATTTTAGGGTCTGCCTGAGTCTTTGCATCACAAACTGTGGTCTTTTAAAAAATAAAGAGAAAAAAAACAAACCAAGAGAAGTGAAAGGTTGTTTAAACTAGCCACACATTTCGAAGGAGAAAGAGAAACCTTGATGGACAGGGGCCCTCAGGCCCAGCCCTCTGGGCCAGTTCCCAAAGCAAGCCATGGTAGGGCTCCGATATCCCGCAGCCGAGAGCCTGGGCTGCTGGTCCAGTCTCACCCCGTCTCCACTTGTTTGCTTGCCTGCCAGTAATTCTGTCTCATCCAGGAATCTTGCCCTGTGGACACTCCCAGCTTCTGAAAATGCTCCTGTCCATGTCTCTGTGCCCCTAATATCAGCCGTTATATGAATACTGGTGCTGCTTACTGTGGTGGCAAACATTTGTTGAGCACCTACAGTATGCTGGCCCTAATTTAGGCCCCCATACCTCCTACTGCACAAAACCCAAATTCTTCTGGGTCATCCTCACTCCTTTTACAGCATTATCTTGTGGCTGCATACATCTGCTTTTTCAATTCCAGCTCCTGTCCATCCTTTCCAGTTGGCCCTCTGGAACCTGCGATAGCAGCAGAACCCCCTGTGTCCTCCGCCTCCTCTCCGAGCTTCTCCTCTCCTAAGTTTCATAACTTACCAATATTTTAAGTACCTCTGAGAAAAATCACTGCCAATATACAATAACATGCCCTTGAATGTAAGACTCGTCCCAATTTTAGAGATGTTAAAATGCGGGGGGAATATGGTTCTTAGAGTGGATGAAATATGATGGTATTCCATGCCTTCAGATTCTCAGACCTCAAATGACTCCCCTGTCCTCACTCCAGCTCATCCCTTGCTTCCTGATTCATGAAGAAAATAAAATCATAAGAGAATGTTCACAGGCCTTTATCACATGGATCTCTCTGTGCCCAGACTCATAACTCTTCTTCCCCCTAGTTATGACCCAGCTTCTGTACTTGGGAACCAAGTACAGTAATTTTTTTATAGTAATTTTTTGCTAAACACTTGGGAACCTTGCCTCTTTTGGAGCACCTTTCCAGCAGTTTTCATCTGTTCTGCCTTCTCAGCTTTTCTTCCTCCTCAGATCATTCCCAGCAGCATCACAAACATGCTGCGATGCTCCCCTGCCCCTCCCAGGCGAAAACTCTTGGTTCCCACTGTGTTTCTGCTCTTTGCAGCAGGGTTTCCCAGACCTGTCCCTGTTCACCGTCTGTAATCTCTTTCCTCCCATTCTGAAACTCACCTCAGTCAGGCCCCCTTACTCAATCCCATCACTTGGGTGCCGGTACACATCTCAAATGTAATGTGCTTAAAACCAAACTCCTGATCTTACCGCCAAACCTGTTTTTCCCACATTCTCCTCACTTCAGTAAGAGACAACTGCAACCTTCCATTTGCTCATCCCAAGAATTTGAGAGTCTCAATTCTTCTCTTTGAAACCTTGAGTCTAGTCTCAGCACGTTATTCGGCTTTCTGTGCAGATGTCTGGAATTCCACCACTTCCCATCCTCACTATCCCCACCTGGGTCCAGATCATTTTCACTTCCTGCCTGGATCACTCACTGCAGGCACCTCCTAATGGGTCTCCCCGTCTCCATCCGTTCCTCTACTGCCATCTCTCCCCCATCCTGTCTGTTTTCAGCCCAGCAGGCACTATGATCCCTACTTTTAAAACTTAAGGGCCCTGGCTGGTGTAGCTCAGTGGATTGAGCACAGGCCTGAGAACCAGAGGGTCGCGGTTCGATTCCCAGCCAGGGCACGTGCCTGGGTTGCAGGCTACTTCCCTTGCAGGCCAGTTCCCAGCAGGGGACACATGAAAGGCAACCGCACATTGATGTTTCTCTCCCTCTCTCCTTCCCATCTAAAGATAAATAAATAAAATCTATAACTTAAGACAGTTGTTAAGTCATGTCACTTAGTCCCTAAAAAAGCCAAAGTCCCCCAAATCATCAGGGCCCTATGTCATCTGGATTTAACGGATTTAACTTTCTGACCTTTCCCCTAGTACTCTCTCCTTGCTGGCCCTTCTCCAGCAACCTTGGCCTTGCTGTTCCCTCTGCCTAGGACGCTCTCCCCCCATATCACCACATACGTGGCTTGCTCACACCTCCTCCTGGGGTTTGTTGGGGTTTGTTCACATTCATCTGCTCAGTTCAGGCCTTCCTTCACTCCTGTGTTTAAACTCGCAAGGTCCTATCACTTTCAGCATTGCTGTTTCTCTGTGCCTGGCACATGATAGGTACTTAATAAATATTTATTGAATGAGTGAGTAAAACATAGAGTAGCAAATTTACTACTTCTGAACAAATCAATTCCACACACTGGTGTGGCTATTGTACTACTGAAGCCATAGAATGTAACTGAGTTTTGCCAAACCTGAGTGAATAAGTGTAACAACCTAAGTGTTCTGCACCGAAGTGTAAGGTAAACATACTGGAAAGTAAATTTAAAACCTGTGTCAGTTCTGACATGGGTAGATCTATTTATTTATTTACATCATTTTACATCAGAGTAAATTGTTAGCAAAGTCATTTTAGTGATAAGTTGGAAGTAAATAAAATCTTTAGGAAGCCTTCACTTTATTAATAGTTAATATGCCATGAACCATACTCATTTAGTGATTAGAGTAAATCTTTTACTGTGTTGGCTTCACTTACACCCGTGTTGGTACATGAAAGGAGTAAAACTTACTTGTATTGTCTTCATTACATTACACTGACCTTTTGAATTAAATTATCTGTGTAATTGATGTTGACATCATTCAAGGAACCAAATGATTATGTAAAATATTTTTCTTTAAGAATTAAAACTGCCCTGGCTTGTATGGCTCAGTGGATTGAGTGCCAGCCTATGAACCAAAGGGTCACTGGTTTGATTCCCACTCAGGGCACATGCCCAAATTGCGGGCCAGGTCCCCAGTAGGGGACACGTGAGAGGCAACCACACATTGATGTTTCTTTTCCACTCTTTCTCCTTCCCTTCCCCTATCTGCAAAAACAAATAAATAAAAATATTTTAAAAATTAGAAATCTGTGCAGCTTGACATTTTTATAGTAATTTTTTGCTAAACACATTATTGTATATTAGATCAAAAGAGTGTCCTTTGTTGTGATTCAAGGCTTTTATGAAAGAGACATACTCTGGTTAATCTAAGCAATTATATACCTCTTTCCTTATGACTATCCTATTCATTCCAAACTAAAGCCACAAATAAACAGAATTGAGTTGGAATCTCTTCTTTGAGCTCAATATCCTCAGAGAGATTTTGTTAGGATTTTCTTTAGAGATTCTGAATGATTGTTCAGACTTAGGTGGTTCAGGATTTTAAGGAAGAGGAAAAAAACTTGAGTACCTACTGCAGACCAAATACTCATCCTTGGCATTTTTTCTCCTTTAATTTCCATAACGATTCTGTATGTAGGTTCACTTGGAGGTTTTGGGAGACTCGGTACATTTTAGGGTCACACAAGTAAGTGATGATGCCAGGGTTGACCGGATCTGCCTCTAGTATGCCCCGTTTTATCAGAGTGACAGTTTAACTGGTTTTGCATATTAATTTGTCATCAGCAAGGTGGTGAAAAGCTATTGGCTGTTTAAATGTGATGGTGGTGGATGAGTGAGGAAATGCATGTTTAAAATCAGGGAAGGAGGCTCTGATTCCAGGCCCTAGTAACTACAGGGCTTTGAGCATTACTTTTCCACTTGTCAATGACAAATCATTCTTTTAAAATCTCATCATTGGCCTCTTCCTCTTAAACTTGCTCTAACAGTTCTAAAATGAAGTTACATCTATAAATCATCAACACTTAAGGCAGAGTGGTAGTGAGAGTTTAGGGCTTTTTAAATTAACCTAAATATTCTACATGCTCATAATTCTGATCACTCAGGTTCTGGTATAATTTGAAGTTAAAGTTTCTCCTCACCGTGTGTGTGTGTTCCCTACAGTGACCCCGCCATGAAGCAGTTTCTGCTGTACTTGGATGAGTCAAATGCCCTGGGGAAGAAGTTCATCATTCAAGACATCGATGACACGCACGTCTTCGTAATAGCAGAGCTGGTTAATGTCCTCCAGGAGCGAGTAGGTGAATTAATGGACCAAAATGCGTTTTCCCTTACCCAGAAGTGAAAATATTAGATACTGACCACTTCAGGATTCAAAGTAACAGATGGGAGAGAGGCTGTCACCCTTTAGTATGTCGTGTGACTAGTTCGACTTAAAGAATTGCTGAGAAGCCTGCCACGGGACAGACTGGAGTGTCATTTGTTCAGAAGAAAGCCCCCAGACTGATTTTCTTGTTCTGTCTTTGTCGATACATGTGCCCTAGAATTAAAAAAAAAGTTTTAACAGTTGGCTATAATTTGATTTTTATGGTCTTTTTTGAAATACAAATGGGAATGGTTTTTCTACCTTTTTAATGCCAATTTAATACATTAAGAATATAATTTTTAGCCCTGGCTGGTGTAGCTCATTGGATTGAGCATGGACCGCAAACCAAAGAGTCACCAGTTCGATTCCCAGTGAGGGCACATGCCTCAGTTGTGGGCCAGGTCTCCAGTATGGGGGTATGTGAGGGGCAACCACACATTGATGTTTCTCTCCCTCTCCTCCTTCCTCCCTTTTCTTTCTCTGAAAATAAATAAATAAAATCTTCTAAAAAAGGATATAATTTTTATTATAAAAATATGATTTTTTATTATCAGTCTGGCCTAGATGCTTATTTTGCTTGTTCCTATAAGTACTGTGAGTTTTGTAGTGTGGATACGGTTGGTTCTATTTCAACTAGAAATTTCGGAGGTGTTTTTTTTTAATTTTTATTTTTTAAGATTTTATTTATCTTGAGAGGGGAAGGGAAGGAGAGAGAGAGAAATATCAATGTGTGGTTGCCTCTCGTGAGTCCCCTGCTGGGAACTGGCCTGCAACCCAGGCATGTGCCCTGACTGGGAATCAAACCGTGATCGTGTGGTTCGCAGGCCCTCGCTCAATCCACTGAACTACACCAGTCAGGGCCAGAGAAGTTTTTAATCAAAGTATAACATACACACAGAAAATGCCCAAGTTGTTAATGTTCAAGTCTCGGGATTTTCACAAACTGAAGCACCCAGATGAAGAAAAAGACACTTCCCACCAGCCCAGAAGCCTTTTTCCCAGATCGCCCCAGGGCTCGCGCTGTGCTCGTCACCTTCACGTCAGGGTGGTCGCGTGGTACGTGTCCCTGCCTGGCGTCTCCGCACAGCACTGTGTGTGAGTCCCCTGTGCCGTGGCGTGGCGTGGTGCAGCTGACCCGGAACAACATGGGTTTGTGCTGAGTGCATACATGCTTTTTTTTTTTTTTTCCAGTAAATGCTGTAAATGTATTTTCTTTATGATTTTCTTTTCTCTAGCTTATTTTATTGTAAGAATAGAGTATATAATCCATATAACTTACAAAGTGTGTGTTAATTAGCTATTTATGTTATTGGTGAGGCTTCCAGCAGTTAAATTTTGGGGAGTCAAAATACATGGATTTTCAACTGTGCAGGAGTTGGTACCTCTCACTGCCCCCCACTCCTGTTCAAGGGCCCCCTAGTTTTTTCATTCTCATTGCTGTACAGTCATTGTTCCGTTGTTCACCTCAACCACACTAGAGATGTTTTGGTTAATAAATAAAGCAGTCCTAAAAATTTAAGAACTATGTATTCATTAAACTTCAATTTGAACTTGATACCCATACATCAAAAAACTTGACCATTATCGTGTTGCCACACTAATTTTTCTCCAGTGGCAGAATGGATACAACTGTATTGCATTTGTTTGAGAAAAGATATGGAAGTACAGAATCTAATTAAGTGCCTACCATGTCCTAGTATAAACAATAGGTAGTTTTTTAAAAGATGGATGAAGCACCTATATCAAGAACACTTAACAACTTCAAGTTGATGCGGACCCTGGCCGGCAAGATCCATGTGACCCCAGGAGACAAATTCACAGATGGCAGAAGTCCTGTAGAGAAAAAAGGATGGCGTGGCCTCTCTAAGTGAGAGAGAGGGCCCCAACCCCTGCCTGGACAGGCTTTCATTGCTTTTCTGGGTACAGTACGTTGGGGATAGGCCTCATTTACTATGCACAGGGTTGTTGTAGGTGATTACCTTTTACAGATAACAAAGTGAAGAACGTTGCTAATTACTTCAAAGAGAAGGATGTTGCAGACCAAAGGGAAAGGTGGTTGAACTGGCTACACTCCATACTGAGGAGGTTTAGCACAGACTTTAGGAAGTTACAGTAAGCACTTGCTACCTCAGTTCAGGGTGAGGGAGTTTTAGCAAAAGCAAGTCTCACAGCAGCCTAGGTACAATGCAGGCCTGCTTCCCCACAGGAGAACCTATCCCTGGGCGTGGATTCTGTGTGCCGGACCTCACTTTGCACTGGCTTTTCTGAGTGGGAGCTGGGCTACATTCCCACACCACATGGAACGGTTCCCTGTATCAAGTAACAGAACAACAGTGAAGAATTATTTAAACAGTAAAGAAGTGTAACTGTTCAACATAACAATTGTAACTCCAAATATAACAAGTTTGGAGACAGTTCCAGGTGGTTCAGCCTGCTTGTCATCCTAATAATGCTGGCCTTTCACTCCCGGCTTATTGCCTCATGGTCCCCACACCCTGACAGCCACTCTAAGTGCTGGGCAACCTGAAACCCGCAGCACAGGAGGGTGAGGAGAGGCCAGCAGGGCTGCTGGCCGCTGCCTCCCTGCTCACTCATGGTCCATTAGGCCGGGCTGGTGAGGGAAGCGACATCATTTAAGGATCTCAAAGACACAGTGACAGAATTTTTCCTGTTTTTCCCTCTGTTCCTGGCCTAGTGGCAAGAGGAGGAGTCTGCCCTTGAGGGAGCACAGAAGTCAACCCCACTTCTAAAGAACGTGTGGCACCGTGTGTGTGTGGGCAGTGCGCCGGACCGAGAACCTGCCGCACAGCAGGCCTGGCCTGTCTGCCACCTCAGGCACAAGGGCAGGAGACCGGAGCCTTTGCCCAGTGTGCGGTCCACCCATGGCTGGGGGCCGGGCAGGGGGCGGGGAGACATCTCTCTAATGGGCTCCTGCCTTTACCAGGGACACTGCAGTGGCCTTCTGAAAATGGGGCAGGGCGGCAGGGTGGGGAGAGCCCTCCCGAACACAGAAAGCCAGGATCGGTGTGTGAGGAGAGAGAACCCGCCAGTGTCCTGAAAGCGGGCAGCTGGGCCAGTGTTTAATTATAAAGTGCATGGGCCTGGAGCTCCAGAAGCCGGGGGCCGGGCTGCAAAACAGGGAGAGGACTGTGGAGACTCACTGGTGCTCAGGCCCCAGGCCGGATCCGAAGGCAAGTCCTGATTCTGATGGCAGAACACTGAGGGCAGTGGAAAGTCTACCTAAGGCAGCTGCAAAGCCCAGTCTTGGCCCGTCTGGGCCACTTCTGTCCACTCGGTCTTCCCTCCTCCACCAGTGCTGTGCAAGGAAAAGGACATGCCCTTCTCTGGGCCTAACTTTTCAGTGTCCACTGCTCCTTTTTCACACTGTCATTCACGCAGCAGTTCTCTGAGCTGCTCTAGCAAGTTAATCGGACCCAAAGAGAGCAGGCTACGGGAACCCCTGATTCACAGTCGGTCAGAAGTACAGGTGACATCCTCGATTTGTGACTGGCATCTGAAGTGGGGGTGGGCGTGTGTGCAGGCTTGCAGGACTGAGCCCTCCCCCTGTGGAATCTAATGCTACATCTAGGTAGACAGTGTCAGAATTTAGTTAATTCTTGGTGGGTAACCGAGAATGGCTTACTGGTGTGGGAAACCCTTTCTCCCCACACCGAAATTCAGTTTCAGAACACTGAAAGGGTCATTAACCCACAGATCTAAGAAGGTGACAGAACTGCAGGACAGATCCAAAGAACAGCGATACTTATGCCCGATGTAGTCAAAATGCTGAAACCAAAGATACAGAAAACTCTTCAAAAGCAGCCAGAGGGAAAACATACTCATCACATACATCGTGAAAAACAATGAAGGAAGGCCAGAAGACCATGGGAACACATCTTTAAATTCTTGAAAGTGAAAGAACAAATTAGAATTCTAAAAATACCCGACAAGACTGAAGTCAAAGCGAAAACATTTTCAGACAGACAAAAGCTTGGAGACTTGTCGTCAACAGACCTGTCTTACAAGAAATCCAAAAAGACGTTCTTCAGGTTCAGGACAGTGAGCACACCCAAAGAAAGGCTGGATCCGCTGGGAGCAATGAGGAGCACCAGAGAGACAGACAGAGTAAACAGATGGAAAAATATAAAAGGCCTTAAAAATACTGCTTTTCTTTTTTCCCTTCCCATCCTCTCTTTCCTTTCCCCCGCCCTTCCCCCACCCCCAACAGAAAGTCTGGCATTGGGGGAGGTAAAGCTGAGAGAGGGAGAGGGCCTGCTTAACAGAACAGAGCGCCCGATGCCCCAGGGTTCCAGAAGGTGGCCTGGCGGAGGGACAGGAACGCTGCAGAGACTGTCGTGGGATGCCCTGGTGGCCAAGGATGTGGAAGACAGAGGGAATGATGCCATGCAGAGGCGCTGGTGGCAGAGAAAACAGCAGTGCAGGGTGGTACAGGGAACCCGAGAGAGTGGTTGGGAACTGGCTGCATTGAGCAACTTAACAGGTTGAACAAATAAGTAGTAAATACGCTGAGGATAATAAGAGCCAGGTTTCTTGTCTGAAAAGAGATTTACAAGCAGGGAAAGGGGAGAGGCTAGAAAGAACACAGGAATACTAGTTGCAATTGGAAATATGGTATAAGCTCATGGTAATCATATAATCTATAACATATCCAGATAGTTCTGGAAATAATTATAAATGTGTGTGTGTGTGCAAAAATTTCCACTGTCTCCTGAAAGGGCTTAGAAGCAAAGACACCACCATCCTAGCAAAAGCCCCAGATCTTGGTCTCTAAATGCTGCCCTACACTAAAAAGATCAGAGTCTTTGGAGAAAGGGCTGATTCCAGGGCTGGAGCAGAGGAAGTGTAAGATGAGGAAGGATACAGAAGATTTGACAGCTCTGTCGGTCCGTTGGATATTTACAGAACACTTCACCCCACAAAAGCAGAATCCTCACTCTTTTCAAGTTCACATGCAACAGCCACCGCACCGAGTACATGCGGGCTCAAAAACCAAGTCTCAACAAAATTCAAAGGACAGGGAAAAAAAGAAAACATAAATTAGACATGTCAGGGATGAAGGAGGGGATATCATTGCAGAGCCTATGGACTAAATGCATACTAAACAAAAATGACAGTGGGTTTTGTGCCATTTTGAAAGCTTAGGTGGAATGCATACATTTCTTAAAAAAATAAAATTGATCAAAACCAATA